CTCCCATTTGGCAAACTGTTTTCTAGAGGCTCGCAGACAGGGGGGCCATGAGCAGTGAAGAGCCAACTCCTAGTGCCGGCTCTCAGGGCTGCAGAAACCTCCTTCAAGGGAGACTTGTCTGGGGGACATACAGGACTGGCCCCCAGTTAGACCACTAGGGAGGCACGCCAGCCAGGCCTCAGCGTCTCTCCCTGCTCACCTGCCCTCATGGTAATGAGCCACATGGGCCAGAGGTAACAGCAGGTGGCTTACACATTTCCAGAGATCTGATCTCGTAACTCAGGGACCATAAAATGAAAAGCATTTCTTACTGTGTGCATATCAGGCAGGGCCACGTTGAAAGTCAGGTGCAAAGTTTAGGCCAAAGGTGCCCAAAGTGATCAGCCAGATTCCCTCGTCTGTTTTCTCAGTGCAGACACCCAGAGGATGGTGGTGCTCTATTGAGAGAAAACAGCTCAATGTAATAATGTTGACTTGAGCTACTTTGTAGGCATGTGGCTTGGGCTCATGCCTTTCTGGATATCTCCGGGCTAGAAGACTGTGCCCCAAACCATGAACTCCAGTGAAACAAACACATATGTGCCCGTGGCTGTGTCCTCAACCCGGCCGGGAAAGGCAGGTGCCCCTGGCGGGTGGCTTTCTGGAAAAGGGGAGTGACTTGGACAAGCTTAGCCCACAGATGAAGAGGAGCCTCTCAGAGCTGCCTCTGCCTGCACTGTCCAGCATGCCCTCAAAATGCAGAGCCCTCATCCAGCCGGCACACCTTGCCTGTGTTTGCAACAAATCAAAGTGCTTTTGTGCTTCTGTTCCTTTCTCTTCAGCTTTACAGAGGCCATTCTACATGGAAAAGGCCCCAAATGGTACCTCTATACACAGTAACCCCTTGCCAGGCTGGAATGTGGTAGCCAGTGGCAAGGACTGTTTTCTCCTTTTGATGCTGGGAGACTATTTCTGAGAACAGGGAAGCCTCAGGGTCCTAACCCCAGCCTCTGCTGACATGTGTGTCATTCGCTCAACCCCAGGCAAAGCAGGGTCTCTGGGTGAGCCTCGGACACACTGGGCAGCCACACATGTCTGTGTGAGGGTGATTCCAGGTTGGCCTGTTCAGAGATAAGAAACTGGGCTAGGCTAAACCTGTTTCCTCAAATATGGAAAAGGGAAACGGGCAGGATGCAGGATGGTTACTGGGCACTTCAGGCCAGCACAGCAGAAGGATGGGAAGGACGTGCATGTGTGCTCGTCACCACATTTCCTTCCTGCCCAGGACGCACAGATTTTAAGGACAGCCTGAACTGAGCTTGTAAGTTAAAATTAGGCTGCCATGGGGTGCAGGGTCTCATATTTCTCCCCTGCTATGGTCCCAGGGATGTTCTCAGAAAAGTGAGCCCCTCATGTGAACATCAGAAACCCCTGCCTTTGCAGGGGTGGTTATCCTGGAAGAATCTCCCTGATGGGACAGGCCAAGCACAGTGGCCCGGAAGGACGATGACTTGAGTGTTAGCTGGACCCAGCGTGGCCAGGCAGTCCAGAGAGGCAGGGGTTACAGAGGGGGAAGCAAAGTGGGGGTCAGAAGCTCACGTGCACGGCTGGGGCAGCCAATGCTGCCCCAATGGTGCCTGCCTACAACAGGAAGAGTGCAGGGGCCGCTGTGTGTCAATTCTGTGACCTCACTCAGCCCAGCTCTCTGCTCAGCGTCCCAGAGGTGGGAGGGAAGCTGGATTTGAAAGCCCAGCTCTAAGCCATTGCTGTCCCAGGAAGTCCTTGCTTTGAGGGTCACTGCCTGGCCAGAGCTTGGGGAGCTATGGGCTAATGCAGCACCTAACACCGAGCTCCTTCTACGCCCTGCTCACCTCAACTTTGGGACCAAAACCTCAAGAGGGGCTGCTTTTCCCACTAACAACTGCCTCTACAGAGCTGAGCCTGGGAAATGGGTTTCCAGCAAGGCAGAGAAAGGAAGAAGCGACGTCGCCTTGCCCGAGCTACCAACCCAGAGCCCAGGTTGAGGGAGCCCCTGCAAGGGTAGAGAGGACCAAAGGTAAGGTGTGGCCTAGCGCCCTCCCGCTGGCCCTGCCGTGAGCCTCCTCCAGGCACGTTTCGAGGTCATGGCCAACATTACAAGGCAGGAAGATATGGGTGAGGATTCTGGGAGAACAGGAAACACAAAACTTTAAGACAATTCAACATAAAACATGATCGTTATTGAGAAAGAGCTCATCTACAGCCAGGTCTTAGACAAGAACATAAGTGACAAATCTGTGCTCTTCCTGGGGGTCAACAAACGTACTCCAGACACAGCCGAAAAATCCATGCACTCAGGAAAATGCAAGCCAATCCCTTGAAGCATCTGACACTGAACACAGGTAAAAAGTTTCTACAAAATATTTTATTAGCAGTCTTCATTCCTTAGAAGTCTCTAACTTTATACTTATACACTCTGCTCCTCCCCCGCCTGCCCAGCTGGGTTGTTTGTCTAACTTCCGTTGCGTTCTAATTCAGCTGGCATTTGACCAAAGCCTTAATGGGTTTTGACTGCACTTTTCCTGTCTGCGCAGACCTGCAATGAGAGAGGTTTTTCTTTTTCTTCTTGCAATAAGGGCTGATTGAGGATTCAGAGGCTGGTATTCCATGGAGATGAAGGAAACATGATAGAATACTATCAGACACATGCCTGGAACCAAGTCAGCACGCCTGCTTGTGCGTGTGTATGCATGTATGTGTGTGCATGTGTGCACACATGCTTGCAAGTAGGTAAACGCATACACAACACACACACACACACACACACACACACACACACACACACACACCTGCCCCTCTGAAGCCCAAGCTAGTCCACAGGACTATTACACTAGGGAGCTAGAAGCAGGCGAGGGCAGGGGACAGCCCCCCTCTGCAGGGAGGTGCCTGTCTCAGGCACTCCGATGCAAGGCCTTTGACAGGCATTAGGCTTGGGCTGCCCTCTCATCTCAGCCACCTATTTGGAGACACAATCAATCACTGAACAAATAGCCACGAAGCTAGTATTGCACTTTATGCCTTACAAAGTATCTCAGATACATTCATATGCCATAAACAGGAGGCAGTAACAAAACAGCGACTTTGGGGTCCAACCGGGCTATAATTCCCACTCTGCTCCTTACTGACTCTGGGGCCCTGGGGACGTCATGAAGCCTCTCCCCACCTCAGCGTTCCACGTCTGCACCATGAGTAGGTCTAAGCCAAGTGGCCACGCGGTACCCTCCCACCACAATGGAGGGCAAGCCCACGTTGCAGTCCCCACCCCCCAACCTCCAGGGCCTGGGACAGCACCAGGCGAGAGGGGTGAGTCAGTAAGGGTTTGAGGAGTGGGCAGGGGACAGAGGGGTTCTGAGGGCATCCAGCCCAGCGCCTGGAACAAGCCATGAGGAAAGGTGCTCGGTGCGCCAGGCCTCATGCCTTCTCTTCTCGCTCCACCAACCAAGCCCGGTTTCTGCCCTATGAGTGTGGTCTGTCCCGATGGACGGCTGGGAGAATGCCTGTTTGTGGGTTTCTACGACGAGTTTTCACCTCAAATCTCCAAGTCCCATTTCCTGGTCCTGGAGGCACCTCCCCAGGTGATGTAATCCAATTCTAGCATCGACTGTGTAAAACTTTGCAGTTACCCCCCTTCCTGGGGACAGCTGCACACTTCACCCACTTGGGGACTTTCAGAGAATTCAATCTCCAGTTGATGTTCAGCCAGAGGAGAAGAAAGAGAGGCACAAAATACTTTGGATGCAGACAAAGGCGAATGGCCCCAGCAGCTTCACTCAAACACCCATCTTCACCTACACTAACCACTGGGGTGCTGCGGATCTTTGTCCAAAGTTTAATCCTTCCTTCCAACTGAAGAAACTCAATCAGAGATGAAAAGAATACCTGGGTCATGACATTCAGCAATTACTGAAACAAATTAGATTTGGGGAGTTGGCCTGGGTTTAAGTTCCAACGTGTGAAAGACAGCACATCACCATGTGCCTCTTAACCACGGCTAGTTAGGGAAGTAAATCAGTGAGTAGCTTGCTGTTATCTTAGGTCACCGGAGTAAGGCATTTTACCAAACTACCTTAACACAAAAAGCAAGGGGAAATATCTGGAAAGCTAAACAATAGCATTTGAGCCAATGCTGCCAAGGGTCACGAGGAAAATGCCCAACCAGGGACCCCTGCTGAACCTGGAAGAGGGATGCCGGCTGCGCCTGGGACAGATGTACCCTCTCTTTTCCTGGCTGTGGGTTTTCCTGCAGTCTACAGGAGACGGCTGAGCAAAGGCATCCTGGGACACTGACTGCAGAATCCTTACCTGCTCCAGTTGAGGTGAGCAAGGCGTAGATGGAGCTCGGTGTTAGGTGCTGCATTAGCCCATAGCTCCCCGAGCTCCAGCCAGGCAGCTCCATTCCTTCAAAAAATAAACCCCCTTGATCTCACATACCCATTCCCTTCTTGCAGCCTAACAGCGCTCATGGTTCCCAAGCTCTTCCCCCTGGGAAGTACCCTGATCAAACTCCTACGAAAGTAATTCCGTCAAAGGGCTCAGGTGCTCTTGGAAAGCAGATTTTAAATCCAGAAGCATCTCACTCTTTCCTGCTGAAATTGATGAGGCACAGCAAGTGGTCTCAGCAAACAAGACCAAGCTGCTTCTGGAGCAGGGCTGTGGGCCGTGCATGGTTCCTGACAGACACACCCCTACTAGGGCCATGAGCCCACAACACAAATCCACAATGGGAAAGGCTCACCCCGAGGGAGCGGGCGCCTTCAACACTGACCTCGCTCCATGTAGTTCTGAGCCATGAGCAAGGACTTTCGGCCTTTTCCGATTCTGTATTTCACCAGGCTGTTCCTATGTAGGTCTTCCCTATGAACAACATCTTACAAGAAGATCTATTTTGAAATTAAATGAGGACTTTTCATAAAGGCTAAGTTGGACTCTGGTTAAAATCTAAATCTGGAAGGCAATGCCATATTTGTATAGAACAAGCACACTTAAAATTACACTTTAATATCTACCTCAATTGTGTTTACTAAAAAAGATCTAGGAGTAAAAAAGGAATCTCTAAGAATTTACAAACTAAATCCACGTATAAATAAAATTCAGACCCTTTTCGTTCTTTCAAAGTGGGAAACGAGCTTCAAGGACATCACCGAGGAATCCCACCACCTTTGGGCTGGCAATGGCCTTGAGTACAATGTGGCACAACTGTTTACAGATGAGGAAAAATGTGGCTCAGAGACGTTCACTGATTTGCCCACAAAAATAGTCTTTCAATTGGAAGTCCTGATTCGATAGTGATATTCTGGAAGGAGAAAACAATGGCATTTTCTGAAAGATGGACATCTTTGGCTGGAATTGCCTTCTCTGCATGAGGTCAAACTGCCTCCAAGAGCTGACAAGTGCATAGGCAGCCTTGCTATGGATTCAAAGCCACCTGATCTCCAGTTACGCACTGTGCCTACCCTAGCAGGATTTTACTTATGCAATTCAGTCACAGGAGAGAAGGGGTTTCCAATATTCAAAGTTTACACAAGCTGAACACCGAGGTGGTGATGTGGCTGTGAGGTCACAAAAGCCAGAGATGAAATCCCCACAGCTCTAAATGCATTGTGTGATCAAGTTTCAAATGCCTCAGCATGCTGAAGCCCTTGGATTCCGATGCCATCTCGTTGCCATCCTCCCCTCCTGTGTACTTAGCCCATCAGCCACTGCTGGCTGCTCCTGCAGAGCCAACCCTCAAAGGTCGCACCTGAAATTTCACTAAGCCCTGTTCTTCCAGGTTCAGCGGAGGTAGTTGATATGATATAGGAGGAAAGGAAAACTGGTTTTTTTTTTTTTTTTTTTTTTTTTTTTTTTTAAATCAACCAAGGCAAAATTAAGGTAGTCAGAAAGCTAGGAAGAAACAAACAATATATTTTGCTTAAAATGAGAAGCATGTGGAAAATAAAAGACTTTGAAAGAGTAGGCCAATGTCTTCTTACAACTTTTTGTATAGCTTTTAAAAAATTCTGCATGGCTCAGTGTAGACGGCGTCCACACCTCTCCTCCGCCTGGAACCTGCATTCGATCCTTCACAAGTGCTGTCTGTGTATGAGACCAGCTAGGTGATTCAGTTAAACCCCTTTCCTCTCTAAACAGAATACGAAATTTACCCTGAATCATTCTTCAACAAGTACTAAAAAGGTACAATTTCTTAAAGTGAATGCATTGTATGAACTTTTGGCTTCCAAAAATGACTTCTCGTTGGAAAAGAGACACACCTTAGAAAGATGAAACTATGAAAAACAACAGTCATAACGTGGAATCGCTCCGTGCCTGGACCCTCTGCCTCGAGGCCTCTGACTGCACAGCCATCCGCTGAGAGGGTGCTTGTGGTCCCCCACCCAGGACCCAGGGTGCCTGGTGCTAAGGAGGAACGGGACTGACCGAGGAAGTCTCTCGTCACCAGCTGTGTTGCAGTTTTAAATTCTGCCCCAGTTGTGGTATTTAAAATTCTGTATGTAAAAGAAAAAACCCCCAACCTTCCTACATCTTCCTAGTTAAAGCTAGAAAGGGGAGTGAAGACCCAACCGAGCTGGGCGGAGCCGCTGAACACCCACAACCCAACGTGGTTCTAGGGCTTGGATCAGAAGAGTCTCTGCATCGTTGGTCGGGCACAGGCTTGCCTCCTCGATTCTAGACGTGCCCTCGGCCACAGTGTCTAATCTTCCTCTTTACTGGCATTCGGGTGTTTTACCTCTCTGCCCGGATTTTGTACCTGAGCACAAAATAGGCAATGAGGCGCAGTGAGATGAAGAAAATCCCAAGCACGACGAAGTCCAGGTAGAGCTTGGCGTTTTCCACGTCCAGCTCCCTCAGGATGGCCTCCGACTTCTGGAAGTGGCATGTCTCGTCGATGTCACAGTGCAGATCTTCTCGGTCTAAGCCGTAGATGGAGAGGATGACCCCTTCAAACCCATACCTGGAGGAAAGGTCGGGCGTGAGGGAGGACGCTCTCCCAGCCAGCCACACCGCTGGCTGAAGGTCAAAGTTGTTCACCCTCCCTGCGCTTCCCAGCCCACCTTTCCCTCCTTCCCAAAGAGCTGGCTTCCCAGAATACTTCCTCCCCTCCCACCACCTTCTTAAGATAAACACACCCAGCAGCTCCACTATGTTTTCCTTCCAATTTTGTTTCTTCCAGGGCCCCCAGCAAAAAACCAAGTAGAATGAGCAGGAGATACTCATTCACTGGTGAAATGCACTGAAAAACCTTTTGTCCACTTCCGAGGTTACATACTTTCTAATGCTGGAATTGGGCAGGCCAACTTGCAAGGACTTGAGAGCATTTCTATGAAACATTCCTGCCCCCTTCTCCCTCTGTTCCAGCCCTGCCCTGTCAGAACAAAAGCACTAATTTGGAGAAGAAAGACGTTGGTTTCTGATTTCCTGGTGTTGGAGCACACACAGGCTGTTGAAACTCTGTATAAGTGCTTTGTTTTGATTCTGTTTTCCTCAACAATATACCTGGGTCTGAACTGACATTCTAGAAAGGAAGAGCTTGTTCCCAACTTTGGATCTTTGTGTCATGTGGAACTTCTGCAGCTCGGAAGATGGGTGCTGCCCATGGTGGGGACAGTGTGCCAACATTTTGTGCAGAGGGCACAAAACCCCGTAGCCAAGGACCCGAGGCACTAGGCATTCTCATTCAAAGATACTAGAATGTTTAGGATGTTTAAAAAGGGCATTTTTTTTTTTTTTTTTTGAGATGGAGTCACCTCTGTTGCCCAGGCTGGAGTGCAGTGGCACAATCTCAGCTCACTGTAACCTCTGCCTCCTGGGTTCAGGGGATCCTCCCACCTCAACCTCCTGAGTAGCTGGAATTAGTCACGTGCCACCATGCTCAGCTAATTGTTTTGTGTTTTTAGTGGAGACAAGTTTTCACCATATTGGCCAGCTGGTCTTGAACTCCTGACCTCAAGTGATCTGCCCACCTCGGCCCCCCAAAGTGCTGGGATTACAGGCATGAGCTGCCGCACCCAGCCCCCACCAGATTTCCTATAAAGGTTTTACAATCAGTACTTGTTAGGAGCACTGTTCACTTTGGAGAGGAAGAACGTCCTAAACGATGGAAGCGTTTCCACTGAAGGCTGCTCTCGCAAAGTCTGGAACGCGAGGACCTGCCAGGGCTCTCAGGGTGTGAGGCGCTGGTTTCTGTGGCCTCCTTGTTTACTGTGTGTGTCTGTGTGTGTCTGTTGGTGAGGGTGGGAGCAGGTGGAAGTAGGAGGAAGATGGAAGGCATGGATCCTCATATGCGTGATTCATATTTGGCCAGATGTCCAGAGGGGCTTTTTGAGCTCCTCACACCATTGGAGACGGTTCTTCCCTATCACCCTGGGTCCCCATGCCACACGTGCCCTGCGCCTACTACCTGACATAGGAAATGTAGGACATCCACTGCAGGTATGTGGGGATGGTGTCAAAGCTCACGAAGAACCCCGAGAACAGGAGCACTGGGATGGCCGTCACCGGGCCCACGAAGGTGGCCACCTGGAGTTGGGGGGACACAGGATAGCTGTAGCAGAACCCACAGGTTGGCCTCCTGCAGACGGGGGTTCGCCCACCCCAGCTTCCCCCAGGCAGGGCCAGGGCACCTTCTGGGCACAGTAATGAGGGTACTTTATGGGGCAGAGGGTGCAGTGTCCCTGAGGGGTGAGGTCACCATCTCTGAGGTCCCCCTGCTGTGACACAGGAGCCCCAGAGCCTCCTGCAGCCCAGGGTAAGCTGGGACCTGGTGGATGTCCCTAGGGCCAGACAGATGAGGGCACACCCTCCTCAAGGGGCTGCCATCTGCTCCTCCACAGCTGTCCGTGGGGGGCTAAGGACCGTGCCTGGCCCATGGCAGGTGTGTGGCAGGCATCCCCGCAGTCGGGGCCCAGTGGAGGGACTGTAGACTCTGCATGTGGGATGGGCGCCTACCTGTCAGCACCAGCGGGAGAGCGGCCCAGAGATGGGACCAACAGCTGCGACTCAGGGTTCAGAGGGAGCACAGGTCCAGCCAGGGGCTGTGAGGGTGTGGGGGATAGGAGGGTGTGGGGTGTGTGTGTGTGTGGTGTGTGTGGTGTGTATGTAGTGTGTGCATAGTATGCAATGTTTGTAGTGTGTAGTATATGCATGTACAGTGAGTGGTGTGTGTGCATAGCAGGTAGTGTGTAATGTGTGTTTGTGCATGTGCAGTGTCTGGAGTGTGGTATGTGGTCTGTACTATGTGTTGTGTTTAAGTAGTGTTTGTGTGTGTGGTGTAGTGTGTGTATGTAGTGTGTAGTGTATGTCTATAGTGTGTGTGGTGTGTAATGTGTGATGTGTAGTGTGGTTTTTGTGTAGTGTGTGTGTGTGCAGTGTGTGGGGTATGGTATGTGGTATGTACTGTGTGGTGTGCACATGTAGTATTTGTGTGTGTGTAGTGCGTTGTGTGTGTAGTGTATACAGTATGGTGCGTGTGTAGTTTGGTGTGTTTAGTGTGGTGTATGTAGTCTATGGTGTGTATATTGTGTGTAGGTGGTGTGTCTGCAGTGTGTGGTGTGGTGTGTCTGCAGTGTGTGGTGTGTAGTGTGGTGTGTGGTGTGTAGTGTGGTGTGTGTGTAGTGTGTGGTGTGTAGTGTAGGGTGTGTGTGTACTGTGGTGTGTGTGTACTGCAGTGTGTGTGTATGTAGTGTGTAGGTGGTGTGTCTGCAGTGTGTGGTGTGGTGTGTGTGTAGTGTGTGGTGTGTAGTGTAGGGTGTGTGTGTGTGTGTACTGTGGTGTGTGCATATGCAATGTGTAGGTGGTGTGTCTGCAGTGTGTGGTGTGTAGTTTAGTGTGTGTCTGCATGTGCTGTATGCAGCTGTGCAAACAGGGGCATCCCAGCCCTGCTCCGATCAGTGATCCCCGTGGAGCCTGAGCGCCCTGGGCAGGAGGCCTGGGAGTGGCTAAGCAGGTGCTCTGGGGCTGGCTTTGGGGGACGTGGGTTGCCATGGCTAGTGTGAGCCTGGCACCTTCCTGCAGTGTCATCTTTGGTCCCATGGCAGCCTTGTGAGATGGCTATCCTCACCCAGGGTGAGGGCACTGGGGCCCTAGGGGCCAGGAATCCAGCTCATGGTGGCCTGGAGGTGACCAGGAATAAACTGCACCCAGCTGGGGGCCTCAGGTGTTCCCAATCCACCCAGAATTAATGCTTTTGTCTGGAAGGACAGGCTCAGCCAGGGCGCCCTGAAGCCACAGAAGAGGAGAACCTGCAGGTGCATGTGGGTGGCAGGTAGGGGGATAGGGTGGGCAGTGGGAGAAGGAAGGAGCTGGGGGAGAGGCCGAGGTGACCCTGCAGAGGCAGCCATGCAGCTGCTGAGAGCTTGGCCCCGGAGCCAGCGGTGCGACCCTAACAGATCACTTTGCATCTCTGGGACTCAGTGTCCGCCTGTGTAAAACAGGGCCAGCACAGCACCTAAGCGTGGCTGTGCTCGGGGCTAGGAGCTCAGATTTGCGGGGCGCTGGGAAGAGCACGAGGCAGGCAGTCAGCACACGTGAGAGCGCCTGCTGTGCGCACCGTGGAAGCCCCCGGATCCTGACCACCCGACAATGCGGGCCCTTCCCACGGGACTGACCCCATCTAGGAGGTCAGGGCGGAGGTAGGGGAGGCATGGCAGAGCCCCCTAGCTCAGGCCAAGGTGGCGCAGGGAAGCCCGGCCCTCAGCGCCCCACGGGCTGGCACCTGCAGGGATGTGGAGGCGGCTCCGATCAGCAGGCCCAGGGACTGCGCCACCAGGGAAGTCATGGTGCCCAGCGCGGCAAACAGCACGAAGCGCACGGCGTCGGACGGCTGCGACGTCATCCAGTACACGATGCTGCAGTAGGCCACCGGGAACATGATCTGGAAGCAAGGACCCGTCAGCCGCCAGCTCCGCCGCTTCCCACCACCGCGGGCCAACCAACAGTGCAGCTCCAGCCAGAGCTCTGGGAGTCCGGTCCTTCCCCCCCAGCCCCCGCCAGCGCTCCGGAAGTCGGCCCCTTCCCCCCCAGCCCCCGCCAGCGCTCCGGAAGTCGGCCTCTTTCCCCCCCAGCGGAAGTCAGTTCCTTCCCCACGCTACCCTGCATACTCGGCAGGCTCTCTTACTCGATATAAAGAGCGTGCAGGAGAACTCCTGCCCCGGCTTCCTATTCCAGCCCCGCCGGCTAACACACCTGAAAGGGCACGTCCGCCATGGTCTTGGCTAGGTAATAGGCCTTCAGGCTGTACCAGTAGTTCAGGTGTTCCCGAAGAAAGACTCCCATCTCCAGAGGAACTAGGAGATAGAAAAGCGAAGAAGAAGGGTCAGCGGCCACGCGCGGCGAGCCTGTTCAACATCCGAACAGGCGATCTTGAGCCGTGCGGCTCGCAACTCAGCTCTGGCCTGCAGCACCAAGAGACTGAAGAAACAGGGCACATGTTTTACTATCCTGGAAAACTCGCCACCCGTGCGTGTAACCTGAAGAGTCATCAAGTGGAGAATCAGGGTGGGGAGCAGGTCTGTGAATACAAAGCATCATCTTAGTGATGAATGCGAGGATTCACGCCTGGCCTTACTCTTCCTGAGTCTGCCTCTTCTGAAACTGCATCAATGTTGTCCCTTTCTGTGAGCAAGGCTGCAAGCTGCTCTTAGAAATCAGGGGCAGCTCGGGGAGGAGGTACCTAGGCAGGAGCTGTTTATGCTGAAGTCCTGGAGAAGCAGCAGCTGTGTTTGCTGTCAGCCCACAGTGATCAAGGGCAGCCTCCTTGTAAACAAACTGAAGTTGTGTGGAGATCCATCTAGGAGAGCTCATCTGCTCCCTAAGTGGGCTGTGCAGAGCTGTCTTAACAACTGGACTAGGTAATGCTTAAGCAGTAGAGTTAGGGGGCTCCTGATTAGTGAACCTTTGAGAAATCTCCCTCCCGTCAGCCCTCCACCATGCTTAAAACTCTTCCACTAGGGATTCATTCCTTTGGCTTAAATATTGTATTTTCTTATCTAATAGCAAATATAATACAACTTGCATCTGCCAACACAGAAGATAATATTTAACAAAAAGAAAACATTGTGTTTAGAAAACTCATCTGTTGGTCAAGGCATGACCTCAGGCCCCCATACTTGGGTAGGAATTGAAAATAAGGAAGTCTGCAGTCCATCACTCACACGTCAGGACGGTGGGCATGAGGGCCGCGAACATGAGGAACAGCATGGAGAAGAAGAGGAAGCCCGAGTTACTCAAGACCTTCTTGGCTTCATTCCCGATCCCCAAGTACAGCAGGCCAATGAGGAGGCCAATCCCGATGTGCGAGGTGATGCGCAGGTGCGTCAGGACCTGGGGGCAGAGCCGCGTCTTACCCAGTGCATGCACAGCCGTCCTCGGCGCGGAGGATAACCCGGCTGTGACTTTGGAAGCGTGCGGCCCTGAACTCTGGACAGTGGGTCTCAGGCTTCATCCTCCTTTCTCCTCCAGAAAAACAAGCCAAACCCTAAGACAACTCACATACATGCACACGCTCACACACATTCATACATACATGCTCACACACATATGCACACATGTCAGGCTTTTGTTGTGTTAAAACAGACATAACTACTATCCTTTGTTAAAGATTCAAAATGGAGAACAAGTCTACCCTGAGAAGAGTGGAAAGGTAAAAGCAATGGAGAGGGAAAAGTGTCTCTATCAGAGGCTTCAAGTGCTCTGGTATGGGCTATGGTGAGTCCCTCTGTCTTTCAAATTAGGTCCCAGAAGCCACACCAGACATTCAGCGCCTCCTAAGCAGGTGGCCAGATAGTCCACTTCCCTGGCGGACATTATTATGATTCCCATGTATTCACCACCTCCTTCCCTATAAGGAATTGCCCACTTCTCCACCCCAATCCTCATGATTCACAGTGCTTTCCTGAAGGAGAAATGGACTTGCCCAGCACCCTGGTTTCAGGCTTGGCCATGTGACTTGTTTAGGCCAATGGCATGTGAGTACAAGTGACCATCTGCCACCTCCAACTGGAAGTTTTAAGGGCTGTCATTTGGTTTCTCTCTTGCACTTTTCCTTTGACATGTTCCAGAAAGGCATGTCCAGATAGGAGCTGTCCCCAGGTGAGAAGACTTATGGGACAGAGAAACAACACAACCCACTGTTGCCACCCCTCACATAAGCAGGACACAAATATTGATGGAGGGAGACACGGACATTTTGGGAGTGTTTGTTACTGCAGCAGTACAGTCAACACTGACTATTGCAAATGGAAGAAAAGTAATTTGAAAGTTTAGTGATATGGCTTGAATCTGTGTCCCCACCCAAATCTCAAATTAAATTGTAATCCCCAGTGTTGGAATTGAGACCTGATTGGATCATGGGGCAGATGGACTTCCCCTTCAATCCTGTGCTTGTGACAGTGAGTGAATGATTGCGAGATCTGGATTTTTTTTTTTTTTTGAGGCAGAGTTTTGCTCTTGTTACCCAGGCTGGAGTGCAATGGTGTGATATCAGCTCACTGCAATCTCCGTCTCCTGGGTTCAAGCAGATCTCCTGCCTCGGTCTCCCAAGTAGCTGGGACTACAGGCACGCACCACCATGCCCAGCTAATTTTTGTATTTTTTAGTAAAGACGGGGTTTCACCATGTTGACCAAGATAGTCTCAATCTCTTGACCTCATGATCCACCTGTCTCAGCCTCCCAAAGTGCTGGGATTATAGGCGTGAGCCACTGCGCCCGGCCCAAGAGATCTGGATGTTTAAACGTGTGTAGTACTCCATCCGCCTTCCTCCTGCTCTGCCATGTAAGATCTGCCTGCCTCCCCTTCACCTTCCACCATGATTGAAAGTTTCCTGAGGCCTCCCCAGACATGCTTCCTATATGGCCTGCGCAACAATGAGCCAATTCAACCTCTTTTCTTTATAAATTCTCCAGAATCAAAGAAAGAAATGCCTCTTTCTTTCTTTCTTTCTCTTTCGTTCTCTTTCTTCCTTTCTTTTTTCTTTTTCTTTCATTCTTTCCTTCTTTCTTTCTCTCTCTCTTTCTCTTTCCTTCTTTCCTTCCTTTCCTTCTTTCTTTCCTTCCTTCCTTCCTTCTTTCTCTTCTCTTCTCTTCTCTTCTCTCTCTTCTCTCTTCTCTCTTTTCTCTTCTCTTCTCTTTCTTCTACAGGAGTCTTGCTCTGTTGCCCAGGTTGGAGTGCGGTGGTGAGATCTAGGCTTACTGCAACCTCCACCCCCTGGGTTCATGGAGTTCTCCTGCCTCAGCCTTCCTCGTAGCTGGGATTACAGGTGTGCGCTACCACAACCACTAATTTTTGTATTCTTAGTAGAGATGGGGTTTTGCCATGTTGGCCAGGCTGGTCTCAAACTCCTGACCTCAGGTGATCTGCCCGCCTTGGCCTCCCAAAGTGTTGGCATTAGAGGCATAAGCCACCGCGCCCAGCCTCGGGGATTTCTTTATAGCAGTGTGAGAATAAAGGAACACATTCCATCAGGATGAGTCTATGAGAAAATGACCCATGGCCTCCCGAGCCACGGGAGAAGATGCGAGGCAGCCTTACCGAGTCCCTCATGATGCTGAGGAAGGTCCTCTTGAAGAGGATACAGAACTGTGTCAGGCAGCTGGCGGAGAAGCTGTGGCAGCCTTCCATGGATGAGGAGTCCTGTGGACACACCCAAGAGGGGACTGGTGAAAGCCAGCCTGGAGCCACGGCTCCTTCTCACTCGGAAAGAGCTGTCATGCAGTGATGTACAGCGCCACATGCAGCCTCCCCGGGGGGCTTCGGGATTTGCATTACCTTTCTCAACCCCTTTAATCGTTTTGTCTGCTTTACCTCTTCAGAGGGCCGGTGCCAAAGAAAAGGGTTCACCTCGGCATCACCCCCAAGGTCTCTCTTATGGTCGGAGTCACACATGCCCTCCCGAACTGCTCTCACCAGGCGACCATTCTGATCACCATACTCGCCAGATGCAACCTCCATAACTGTAGGAGACACAGAAGTGGGGTCAGCCCAGGCTCCAGGAAAGACGCCCCAATCGCGCAAATGCGAAAGTCGTTTTTCAAGTGAGAATGTTTTAAAGTGATTACACAGGTGCTGCATGGCGGTGCTGATGGCATGACATCAGAATCACTTGTCAACCAGCATTTGGCCCGCAAACCCCTAGCCAGGCCGTTTATCATGTCAGGAGACTGAAAGCAAACACACACTGCGCTGTTGGTGGGTGCATCTACTGATGGCTCATCCAGCCGGTACTTAAATGCCTGCTCTGTGCCAGCCTCCAAGGTGGAGCTGGGGAGGGGGGCAGAAAGAAGGAAGCAGGACTCCTCCCTAAGGAGCCTGTGGTTTGGCAGGGTGTGATGAGAGCTGAAGCAGTTCTATAAGACCACAGAGGACATGCCCACCACCACATGTGTGGCTGGCACCCTGGGGACTTGGCGGTCCTGGGAACCTCGACCTGCACCTCTCAGAGCCCAGTGAGTATCTCCTGCACTGGCCTCCCAACTCTGCACCTGCTCCTGCTGTCCCTCCCGCGTCTCAATCTTCACCTCATCCCTCCGCCTGCCGACTCGCTCCCCCAAGGCTTCCTCCCGCCTCGACGTCCTCTGCAGCCCGCGGCTCCTTCCACACTCCCGTGGCAAGTGGTCTCATCCCTCTGCCTGCCTCTGTTTTCTCACAAGCCCTCCGCCCTCTCCTACCTCTGTGTCCTCCCTGTGTGACGCCTCGCCCCTCACTCCAGTAATATTCTTGCTGAGGCCGAAAGCTCCCAATGCTGTTGCCTTTTCCGTACTTCCCTCTGGCAGAGCCAGCTACCTGCTTCTTCCTAGCTGGTATGGGGCCACCATACCTCCTAGATCAAACCACAAACCAGGACCTATTGGCTCCACCAGAAAGTTATCCTCAAGGGCTCCAAACAAGCCCACAGCACTGCCAGGCAACGTTTCCATGCTTCCAGGCCCCTGTGGTCACCCGCACCCACTACAGTGGGCCACACTTCCCTCACTCCACCACCCACTCTCTGGTCAGATGACACTGAGGAAATGGAAGCCCCAGAAGGGACCATCCTCATCTCTCTGGGACCTCTCACATCCCCATGCGCCATGTCTTTCCTCTCCTTCCTGCCCACCCATCCCTCCAGGTTCTCACCTCCATGCAGACTTCAGACCTCACCTCCCCTGCTGCACTCATCAGCATCCATTACTGATCTGTTACTGATCTGTTACTCTCCCTTGTGAGTGAGCGTGAAACCAGAACCACAGCCTCCCGGGGCTCCCGCCTCTCTCAAACCACCCTCCCTGCACCCCGTGCCCTCTCTCCTCGCCATCACAGCCTACCCGTTGTGAGTGAGAGGCACTTCCCGTGAACTGGCTCATGGAACACAATTTGGGAAATAATGTAGAAAACATAGAGTCCTGGAAATTGTATAAATCAAATATTGTAAAGAAAAGTGACAGATTAAGGCTGATGGCTGGAAGGTGAAGGAGGAGAGAAGTCCACCTGGACCGTCATCATGAAACCTTATTTGGAAAAGGGTCTTTGCAGAGGTAATTAGGATCTGGAGATGAATGATCCTGGACTTAGGGCCTAAATCCAAAAACTGCTGTCCTGGGGCGATCAGCACACACAGACAGGAGAGGGGCGGAGACTGGCTGGCCAGATGCTTTTACCTAGTGTCTAGGAAAGGAAGCTAATTTTGTTGTTCTTTAAAAGTTTTATCACTGGATGACACTTGAGCCATTTGTGGTATGTTCAAGTGATTTCTGAGTTGGGGGCGTCGGCTAAAAGTGAAACCCACAGAGGAGGAAAATCCCCTTCCCGTCCCCCAAGCTGCTCAGGGCTCCGCTTACCAAAATCTGCTGGGTTGTGGTAGGTTGGGCAGTTCAGACCCAAATCCCGCAAATATGGCACAAGATTGGAGACTTTTCCCCGGTACACACATTGTCCTTGACTCAGGACGTAAAGCTGGAAAAAAGTAAGAAGAGAAAGGGATCAAGCCCTGCCTTCCTCGTAAAGCAACGGGAGCTCTCATCAATCAACCAATCAGTCAGCCCGCCCAACAACCAGCTGCTTCCTCTCCTGAGTGCTTGATATTATCCCCCAAGGGCCCTATTAAAATTTGAATGGAAAGCCATGATAAGTCGTGGAAGACAGAATATCACATGGCCAGGCGTGATTTTATTATATTGTTTGCTTTTTATTTTTCATGCTAACCACCTGCTCAGAAAAAATTTTGGAGCTACACACATTTTATCCCTTTGTGACTACTTTTGCTCAGACTAATATCAAAACCTGATTTTTTTTTTTTTTTTTTTT